CCCCCAAAACCCCAAAACCCCAAAACCCCATGAGCAAGAAAATATTTATTTTAAAACTTATATAAATTAATCTAATTTTACAATTTAATTTACATAGTCGTACATTTCTGCTTCAGAGTTCTTCATCTTCTTTATCACTAAGACTTAATAATTGATGCTGCTCATCACTATCAGAATCATTTCTAATTACAATATCTCCCTCGTCAAGGTCAGCTGTGTTTATTCTGGCATCTAATTACATCAACTCATTATATTCTGGATTGTCTTAGCTTTTATGTTCTTCATCTTACTCCTCTTCAGCTTCCTCATCATAGTACTATTCCTCTTCTTCTTGTTCTTCCTGCTCAATTTACATTTCTTCATCTTAATTCACCAGTTTCTATTCTTCTAATCTGCTCTTCACGATTTTAAGGAATTTCTTTTTGCCTAGGTAATGTTCTTCATCAATATTTGGCTACTTAAACTGATTTAAGAGTGACAGGATCTGCTAATGCTGAGTTCTCGCAATTGACTAGCAATTTTGATTCATTGAGTATGCTATAAGTCTATCGATTGAGGATATATTCTTAAACACTTCTTATTAGGCAAGTATGAGATTGCTGTTATTATTTATTCTTGCTTTATGCTACCTCTCTTGAGTTGTCGAATCAAACTAATTTGATGTCTGCTTCTAAGGAGGATGTGCAATATTGTCCATTACAAAAATGTAATATATTATAAACGATTGATGAATTTATAAATTTGGCCTAATTACTTGAATTGATTTAGACATTCTGATGAACTGATACTTAAGCTAGAGATTAAGCAATACTATCGAGAAAGCATGTGTGGCCGAGCGGTCTAAGGCGTCAGACTCAAGATCTGATGGACGTGAGTCCGCGTGGGTTCAAATCCCACCGCATGCAAGTTTTTATTAATTTTGACTCAAAGACTCAAGCAATAATTTTCACATTAAATTGTTACTCTATTCATTGCAGTTAAATTTTTATTATATTAACAATGGTTGATATTTCAACAAAGAGAAAATTTTATTAACAGACTCATAATCAATCCTTGATTTAAAATTTGCAAACTCAAACTGCTGTTTCTGACGAGTCTTATCATGAGATGCCTCTCAAACCAAACTAGAATAGTGAGTTGAATTCGTAAAGAATGATGCTGCCTAGAAAGAGTTCAGAGCAAGTTTTGAAGACCATTAACAACATTAAAATATCGGTAAATTCAACAGCTTAATAGTAGCATGAATGTCTTTCAGCTAGTAAAGATTTTGGCTCTTTGATTGTATTAAGTGAAGGAAGTGAATAAAACTACAGACATCAATAGAAATATTTGGAAATAAATTAGTATTCAATAGTTGGAAGCTAGAGTGGCGCTTACAATAGCAATATGAAATCTTCTTCCGAATAGAATTAGTAGCTGATGAGTCCAATTTCATAAAATTCTCTTTCAAACAGTAGTCTCAAACCAGGAAATGATGTTCTTAATATATACTCTCAGCAATAGAAGGATCAAAGATCTAGTATTAATAGCTACAACAAAAGAGTAGTTGAATTGCATTTAAATTAGCAAAACCAAAATAAAGATAGTCAGAATAAAGTGGCTACTTCAACAATGAAAAGTCAAAGTATCAAACATCTTAGCTTAGATATTTCAGAATTACCGGGTGGAAGTAATCCTTCATAAGATATTATTCAAAAATCTAATGAAATCAAGCAAGACATTATGTCATAAAGACAAGCAATTCAAAATAACAATCCCTTGCAATAGTCTCAAAATTCAGCATTTTAAAGCAATGAAAAAATTAGAACATAAGTTAGAATAGTTCCTATATCAACAAATATTTCTCCTAAGAACTAAAATGCCTTTGGATCTCCAAGATACTCAATAAACTCAGTAAACAATACGATCACGAAAAGCAAAATGATGATAAGAAAATAATAAACAGCAAATGCTATCAGCAATAGCAACAATAAAAGTGGTCTGAATTAGAATATGAGCAAAAATGAAAACATTAATATTACTGTTGATCCTTCCAATATGATTTAAGTAAATCATTCTTAGAATATTCAAGCTTTCAAGCACACTTCACCCTAGTTCAGCAAATTCTTGAATACTTAAAAGAATCAGAGTGCAAGTTAGAAAAAGAATCACCAAGATGCAATTAAAGCAAACTCCAAATTAATTAGAAATATTAATTGCGATACTAACCAATTGAGAGTTTGCGAGTCTCATCGAGACCTTCATAGCGGAGCTTAATCTGCCAATAATAAAAATAAGGGATTTCTCGATCCACAAATTATGGAAAGTAGCAAGGAGAACCCTTCAAAATTCTACAGCCCCTCCTAAATGTCCTTAAACAAAGCTTTATCAAGAATAAGTTCTGTTGGGGAACTGCAGAAAGTTAAACAATAAATAGCATCATAGAGAAAGAGCATATAAACAACTAAATAATCTTAATCAAAAGTAACAGGCTTATCATCAATGCTAACAGCAAACATAATAATGAGCAAAGCTGCTAAAAAGGGTCCAGAAGAAATCCTTCAATCTAAATCATTAGAGAAATATAAACAAATAACATTCGATAAATCCTAGTAACAGTTACTAGAAGAGGAAGAAGATGAAGAAAATGAATATATGACTAATTAGGAAAAGCTGTGGAGTTCTATAGAATAGAACCAAGATATTAATCTGATAGAAGATTTATTAAGAAGAAGCGATGTAAAAGTATCGCAAAGAAATATCTTTGATGATGGGTGGACTGCCCTGCACTATGCTGTTCATGAAGGTAACTTTTAAGTGGTTAAATTGCTGATTGAGTAATACAAAGCCTTGATCGATGCAAGATCTTCAACTAACAAGACACCTTTCCACTTAGCATGCATCCGAGGAGATGAATTCATAATTAGATATTTACTTGATCATTCTGCATCTCCTCACGTTGTTGACAGAGATGGATGCACTCCTCTACATTACCTGTGCGAAACTGAGAATCATGAAATGGTTAAAGTTCTGCTGCCCATTTGTGGAGCCAGTAAGGATGTCAGAAATAGATTTGGGAAAAAGCCTGCTGATCTAATATAGGATAGAGAATTTAAGAAAGTCCTCAGAAATTTTAGCACAAGACGAGAATCTCTCAACTAGCGTTAGAACCAGATAGCCAACAGTAATACTACAAATAATAATGTACAAAATTCTCAATCCTAGACAAAAAGTCAGAGCAGAGAAAGAAGTTGCAGCGGCAACAGGAATGTTGTTTAGATTCATAGGCTTAATGATGATAAAGAGGTTCAGGATTGCATTCAACAGCTTTTCAAAAAGTTCTCTAATTATCATAGAAAAGCAAGCAAAGAAAAACAAAATCAGCAATAACCATAGCTTAATTAAAAAGTCACTCGCAAGGAGGAGAGTAAGAATGCAAGTACCAATTAAAGCCAAAGAAACATTGTCATGTCTCCACAGAACTCATCCCTTAATACTTCAATTAAACGCTAGCAGGTGAATCCATAAAATAGATTAACCTTAGGAACCTAGCAAAGCTAGAAATAACTCGCACTAAACGTTCCCACATCTCAAAAAAGTTTAGCTAAGACTAGCTCCAAATAAAAGATAATGTTCCCCTCTACAACTTAGTAAAATTTAATTAACAAAAACATATCTCCAACTAAAAACATACAGCTACAGGTACCATCTAAAATCACCACAACTAGCCTGAATACATCTTAATCATAAAGAACTATAGGATATAAGCCAGCTCTTTAAAACTATAAATCCTCAGGAAAGCCAGAATAAAAACGATTAACAAGCATTTAGAGTGTCACTAATCTAATATAAGAAAAGACTAAACAACTTGATCAGCAAAGAGACCTCTCTGTGAGCAAAGATGATGATTATAACTGCCTTAGCAGCGATACAAAGAATAGAAAGAATGCCTAAATTAAGAATTATAACAAGGAACTAAGACTAATAACTGAAACTAGAATGGAAGATCAAGGCTCTGTATCGCAGAGGACTGGAGATAGCAGTATTATAAATAATGATCTACATTCCAACTCGATAGTTAATAGAAATCACAAACTAACGACTTTTAGTCTTAATTAGTTTAGTGATGGTCAAGAAAATGTTACAATAGAGGAGAAATAGAAACCCTAGGAGGAAAAGATAGGACCTTGGAGCTTTATTGCCCATTAATTGTTAGGGACAGGTTCCTTTGGAGAGGTCTTTCTTGTTGAGAAGATTTCTAACAATAGATTCTACGCAATGAAGGTTCTAACAAAATCAAAGATTATGGGCCACAACTTGACAAGATACGCAATGACTGAGCGAAACGTTATGTCTATAGTGAATCATCCATTCATAGTAAAGCTAAATTACGCATTTTAAACTCAGGAAAAGCTGTTTCTGATATTAGACTACTGTCCTGGAGGTGATCTGGCTGAGTATTTGTAGCTTGAAAAGAGGTTTAATGAAGATAAAGTGAGACTGTATAGTTCTGAAATTCTACTAGGTCTTGAGGAATTACATCGTAAAGATATCATTTTTAGAGATTTAAAACCAGATAATGTGGTCTTGGATGCAGAAGGTCATGCAATGCTAACTGACTTTGGCCTTTCAAAAGAAGGGGTTATGAAGGAAGGTATGGCGAAATCTTTCTGCGGTTCTTATGCCTATTTAGCCCCTGAAATGTTGAAGAAAGTTGGACATGGGAAGGCAGTTGATTGGTATTTACTCGGAGTCATCATTTATGAAATGCTCTGTGGTATTCCACCATATTATGCTAACAATAAGTAAGTTTCATAATTTTGCTTATCTATTTTAGGGAGGAGTTATTTGAGAATATTAAAAATGCTGCACTAGACATACCTCAATATGTATCTCCAGTGGCAAAGGATATTATACTGAGATTATTAAATAGAAATCCAAAGAAAAGACTGGGAACTATCGCAGGGGCAGACGAAATAAAGAAACATCCTTTCTTTAAGAATATTGATTGGGTAAAGTTGTACAACAGACAATACAAAGCACCAGAGCCCTACTTAAGGAAAAGGTTTGAAAATTTCCTGCAAATGTCTCCTGAGATGCAGACTAATTCTGATGTTTATGAGCAGCTAAGGAAGCAAGCCTTATTCAAAGGACCAATAGATGCAGCTCAACATATCCCTGGATGGTCATTTGTCTCCCCTATTAAGGAATCTGAATGATTAAATGAAAACACTTTTATTGACTGTTTAGAATAAATGTAGAAATTAATATTTTATTGAATTAAAATTAAATGGAAATTTCTCTTTTCAGCAGCAATTAGCAGCGAAACATTCTCAATAATTTCGAGCCCAAGTCGAATGCATCCTCAATGTACAAAGGTTCAAATAAAACATTCGTCTTTGATATGAACGGCTTTCAAAATAAACTCGCAGGATCAGAGCTTCGAACCCCATCAACTAAAACATTTTAGCATTAATAACTCCTTAGAGAGAAAAATCAATAAAGTGATGTTATTAAAATGTCGCTATAACAACCTAATAATAACAGAGAGAATTATAATTCAGCTTAAAATCAGCCCACTAAAGTAGAGCATAGACTGTCAATGCCCAACATTAATCATAGATCGATCAATGACAGGCTTGATTCAAGAGCTTTCAATAATAACAGCAGAAGCTCAATGCAAATCCCCCAGCAGACATAATCACTTTGATAGAATTTAGAAGCTGGGAATTAAAATAAGGTAACAGATAATCATCATATCAGGGATGATGGTAACTTATTCAATATTAGCAGAAGATCCAATGTTTATGATTTCAGAAAAAATACACTAAGCAGCTCTTTATTAACGACTGAGAAGAAAGATGTGATAAATAGAGTTTAAGAATCAAGTTAAATGAATAAGAAGGATGACTAAGGTACAAAGAAATATAGACCACTATCTCCGATTAAAGAAACTGAAAATGCAAATATTTCTAGCATTCCTCCTGCTTCAAGAAGTATTATGGATCCTGACAATTAAATTCTATTCCTTGATAACGGCAGTCGCATTGTTAATCCTGTTAACATCAAAACCCCTCCTCCACCAATGTGGGGTGAAATATTAGAAGAAGAGAATTACGATCCTAATGAAGAGTTTTATGATCATGAAAAAGCATAATAAGAGTTAAAGAGGTGAACTCAGATGATATAGAAGAAAGAAAGAATGAACTCTAATAAAAGACTAAAAAAGAAAATAGTATATGTGTATGAGTCTGATTCTGATGAAGAGAATGGGTTGCAATAGAAAAAGACTTACGATAAATAGCTAGCTTACTCATTAGTAGAGAATAATGATATTACCAAAATAGACAGGCCTAACTTCTCTCAAAACTAAAATATTTCAAGCAAAAGGGTGCTTAGCATTGATGGCTATCTTTAAAGAAATCAATAGTCTAACCAAGCTAAAGCGATAGCTTTACCCTATATCAATAAAAATAATAGTTCCTCTTTAAACAGCAAGCCTCCATTACCTAGTTCATAGTTTAGAGCTTTTTAGCATTAATCTAAGCAAAACTTATCTTAAGCTAGGTAGATTAGAACTGGAGGCTTTCAGAAACTTCCTATCATCAGTCCTTAAATAATCAAATATTGAGTAGAATCACTTAAGATTACCTAATTATATTTTTAATTTTTAAAATTATTAAATATTAATGCTAAATGGGGTTTTGGGGTTTTGGGGTTTTGGGG